ACCGGCCGGGGCGAGTGGGAACGACGCGATCCTGGTCGTCGTCGATCGGCTGACGAAAATGGCACACTTCGCAGCATGCAAGAAATCAATCACAGCCGAAGAAACAGCTCGCCTCTTCATCGCCACCATCGTTCGATGGTGGCGATCATCAGCGACCGCGACACGAAATTCACCAGCAACTTCTGGCGGAACCTATGGCAACAGTTCGGCACGCGATTGCAGTTCAGTTCATCATACCACCCCGAAACCGACGGACAGACAGAACTGACAAATCAGACCATGGAACAGCTCATCAGGGCCACGTGCGACGACCCGACCACGTGGGAACAGCAACTGCCACTCATCGAATTCGCGTACAACAACTCGCCATCCGCCACGACCCAACAGTCACCATTTTACCTAAACTACGGACAAGACCCAACAGTACCCATGACTCCGAATCCCGACAACCCAGTACCACGAGCACAACAGTTCGCCGAAATATTACAAGCAGCACGGACCCGGGCAGCAGACGCAATAAAAAAATCGAACATCATCGCTAAACGCAACGCCGACCGCCACCGCAGACCTGTCACTTACCAGCCCGACGACCTAGTTTTACTTGACACCCAGAACCTCCGCCTGCCCATCACTCCAAAACTCCGCCCCCGATATTGTGGACCATTTCGCATAAGCCACATGATTACGCCCGTCACCGCCCACCTCCTCCTCCCTGCTGACTGGTACGTCAGCCCCTCAGTCCACGTCAGCCTGCTTCGCCCTTACGTCCCGTCCACGAGCCAACTGCCACGCAAGGCTGACTATTCAAAAAAATCCAGTCTGATGTTTTGGGGGCTCTGAAATTTTTTAGTCTGAGGCATATTTCCCAGAGAATGGCTACTCTGATTTTTCAGGTTCCGCAAAAACACAAGTCTGAAGTACTCAGAACACACTACAACTACTGCAGTACAGTACTGCCACGAATGTAGCACGTGGGGCGCAGCGCTAACCGACTTTGCTGCGCCAGCACTGAGTTTCCCTCGCTGACACCGCGTAGCTGCAGTGATGGTCCCGCGTGAGTGAAAGAGCGAGCCAAGTTGGCAGATTTCTAAGGGAAAAGGGTGGCAAAAGTTGCCAAGGACAGATTCTGCGCGTGACAGCACCATGAAGTGTGTTCGTACACTGGCAACATATGACGTAGCGGAATGTACGTAGAAATTACAGATCCGCATTTCAGGATCCGTACTCCCTGTAGTATGAAGACCCATTATCGGCTAAGTCAGTACTCTGAAAATCTCAGGATCCAAAACCAAGTAAGTCTGAGGTACTCATGTTTGAAAATCTTACAAGTTTGAAAAATCAGGATCCGAAGGAAAATACCCTGAGATTTCAGACAATCAGACTATTTTAGTCTGATAAAGTCAGCCCTGCTGCCACGCAATCGCCCAGCTAGCATGACACGACCGCCGACTGAACCAATCATCACCCCCGAAAAAATCCTGAGCCACAGAGTTCGTGACCCTCGAGGAGCCCGAAGGATCGAGTTCCTGATCCGCTGGAAAGACCGTACACCCACTGAAGACAACTGGGTTCTCCTGGACAGAATCGAAAACCACCCCGTCCTCATTGAGTATCTGCGCAGCCGAAATTTCAGGGATGTACACGCGCTTTCGTAAGGAGGACCTCCTTAGGGGGCGGGGGTAGTGTAAGGAAAATTCATTTTCCTTACTTCGCGTCCCCGCTCAGCGCGTACACCACTGTAGCACCACAGTCAGCACCGTTACCACTCGCAACCCTCGCATCGACAAATCCTCCCGCCACCTTCGCACGTCGCACCCCGACCTCACGGCTCGGCGGGTAACCCGCGCTCCGGGCCTCCGCTTCGACATTTTCCCCAACCTCAGTCCCAGGCCTGTCGCGCAACAACCACAGTCCATTACCGTTACCACTGTAGTTTCGCTATATATTCTTCGCTCATGCCTTCGCTCATTGTACTCTTGCTTCAATAGTGCAATTCTCGTTCGTTCACTCAATTGCACTCGTAACAAGAACAAAGTTCACACTTCACTGTCATAGGACGAAGGCTCTCCATGGCAGCTTCACTAGTGAATGACCTGAAGAAGCCTTGGCTACTTGTTGTGGTCTTCCTAGCCGTATTCGCGTTAGTGGCAGTTCTTCAATCGTACATTTTCTTTACAGACGCTCCAAGCGTCAACGTTTTCGCGAACGAGCAGGTTATTAACTCAGACGCTGACGTGTCTGCGCGCAAGGAGAATTGCGAAGTTTCGGAAAGTCCTCCGGTAGCATTTGATCCGATTTGCTGGTGGTCCGGGGATCATGGCGGGTATAGCGGGAGCGAGCCGTCGGGAACCAGCGTCGCCACGATCAATGATGGCGGGGCGCAGCGAGAAGGGTCAGAGCGGAAGGACGGTCCTGGCAATCAGACACTTCCTTCTCGAATACCAAGTTCTGGCAACCAGGCAGGAACATCGGAAACCCTAAGCGAGGAGAGAAATACTCGGAGGCGGCGGAAGGGAGGCGTTTTGATATTCGGAGGCGGGTGTAGTCGCTGCACGGTTGGCGAGCCGTGCGCTTTCGAGATCGCCATCCGATCGCCTGCCAAATGGGTGGCTCGCGCACGCGGTACCGCCTCCAGCTATAGTACTGGAGGCGACAGCAGTGGTAGCGACAGGTATAACGCCGGCAACAGCAGCAACAGCAGCAGCAGCAGCAGCAGCAGCAGCAGCACCAATAGCAGCATCATTATCAGCAATAGCGGCACGCGGATGGGCGTGGGTGGGTTGCGCGAGTCGCTTGTGGTGAGGCTGGTGGGCCCTGCCTTGGCTGTAGCGGATGTGACTACAGAAAAGGGTGACGTCACGCGATGGCGAGTCACGTACCGAGTGTGGGACGCTGGTAACTACAGGTGCGCCTCGCGCTGAAAAGGGCCCCATTTTCCCTGGGTGAGGGGGAAGGGAAGGAGGAAGGTCAAGGTTGGATGGGGGAAAAGGGGGAAGGGGGATGAGGGGATAAAGGGAATTAGGATCTTAAGGTCGGGAAAAAGCGAGTGAGGGAATGCGGAATCTTTCTCCCTGATAATGTTTTCTCATTAACTCTCTCTTGAATCCACCCCTTCACAGATTACTACCTCCCATAGATTAACTTCCCAGGAACCCTCCCTTCTCATTGGTTCCTCACAAGGCTAAAGGCATTATTTTTTCGGGGTGAAGGAGAAGGGAAGGAAGAAGGGCAAGGTTGGATGGGGAAAAAGGGGGAAGGGGAAGGAGGGAATAAAGGGAAACTGGGAAGGGAAGGATTGCTGAATCTTCCTCCTTGATTTTGTTTCCTCCTTAACTCTCACTTGAATCCACCCCTTCACATTCCCACTACCTCCCGTAAATGAGATTCCCAAAACCCAGCCTTTCCCATTGGTTCCTCTTTCCCCGACGCCCCACCAAATCAGCGTCCTGGTCCAATCAGAGTGCGACACGCTGGACTTTGCTCCCGACTACTTATCGCGAGTGAACAGCTCGGGATCACATGTCATGGCACAATGGGTCCTCACCGTCCTCCCACCCTTCGAACCTCCTACCGAACCAGCCACCGAACCTCCTACCGAACCAGCCACCGAACCTCCTACCGAACCAGCTCTCGAACCAAACACCACGCGAGCAACCGAGCCAGCTACGCATCCAACGACTGGACCAGCTACATTTGCTGAATCTCAACCCAGCAACATGTTTTCCCCAGATTCAGAATCGCCATGCGACGATTCCATCCACGCCCGCTGGCTATTCAATGCTCAAACGCAAGCCTACACGTGGCAGCTATACCCCTGCGCGTCCCCCCTCCCCCCCCCCTTCCCACTGGCTCTCCGCCCTCCAATTCCGGGGCATTTCCGAAATTAACTTTGTGGGAGACTCTCATGTGCGCTTCCTCCTCCACCACCTGTTCTTCATCCTCACCGGCAAGGTGAATGAGACGACTGTGAGGTTCCATCAGGACTTCCAAGTGCTCGTGCCACCCCCGAGCCCGGAGCTGCAGCCCCTGAAGCTCAATTTTTATTGGATCGGAGGGATTTTCGTCGACGGACCTTTTGGATGCAGGTGCAGTAAGCTCGTAGATGTGCTGTGACTTCTTCATCCTGTTGTTTTCATCCATTCGTTCTTCAACCCTCAGTCAAAAAGTCATGTGCTGTTCTTGTACCTGTACCCCTCCATCCAGTTTGTGGTCTGGTTTCCAAACACACTCCACATGCCCCTCTCTCTTCCCCTCGATTTTCCACCATTTACACTGCACAGCAGAACTAAGGTAGCCGCGTCACTGCAAACGCTCAAGTTCCCAAACATTTCCACCACAGCCCACGTGACGCTTGTGGACAGCGGCTTCTGGACGACCACTTTTTGCGATGAGCCTGAGGTCGCGTTTGGATACTTTCTGCCCAACTTCCTGCAGTGGGTACACTCCGAAATGGAACTCGCACAGCGGGAGCGGCTGCAGCAGCAGCAACAGCAGCAGCAGCAGCAACAGCAACAGCAGCAGCAGCAACTTCCGGGGCAGGTTGAATCTGAGACGTATCCTGCCAGGGGCCCTTGGTTTCTGTACCGAAGCATCCCTCCGAAACAGCTCAACGACCGCTGCAGTTTTGGAACAAACGCCCTCATTTCGCATATGAACGACGTTGTTGCGAAGCGCTTAGGCCGGTACAGGCTGGCGTTCCTCAATGATTGGCTCATTGCGGCTCCTCGACCCGATGATACCTGTGGGCATACCGATCAGCACTACACTTGCTTTGTCAAAAGTACTAGAAGAATGAAGTTTTGGTTTTGGAATTCAGCAATAGAGGCTAAATATATAGGGCCTGTGGGTGAAGCAATGGTGTGGAACTTTGTTTACCATCTCTTGTATATGCTGGATTGAAAAGGGCATTTGTTTCAAATCTAATCCACATGCAAGAACGGTGGCAGCTTGAGCCAGGGTGTCTGTGTTTGCATGGGGTGGGGTGCCTCCCACAGTGATACTTAGTAGTGATACAGCTGCTGTGAGGGCAGTCGGGTCAGCCTAGTACCTGCAATACAATGGGGAGAGAGAGAAGGGCGCAGGGTGAGCAGAGGGGGCAAGTAGGGTGGGGAGCAGGGGGAAAAATCAGATGGCGAAAGAAAGGGTTCAAGAAAGAGAGGGACGGAGAGGGGGGCAAGTCGCATCATGGCATGACTCACGGGGGCAAGTCGCATCATGGCATGACTCACGGGGGCAAGTCGCATCATGGCATGACTCACGGGGGCAAGTAAACCCCAATGGAATCCAGTCAATGGAGCACCGTTCAGCGAAACAACACACTGCTGCATCAGTGTGCCATTCACACCCCCACCACATTCCCTCACAATCCCACCACTCCAGTCTCCCTCACCTTCCCCAGCACGCCTCTCACCTTCCCCAGCACGCCTCTCACCTTCCCCAGCACGCCTCTCACCTTCCCCAGCACGCCTCTCACCTTCCCCAGCACGCCTCTCACCTTCCCCAGCACGCCTCGGGACATGAGTCTACCCTCCTCCTGCTCCTGCCCCTCCCCTATTGCTCCTCGCTGGATGTAGTGCCGCACAGGCTGTCGAACCTGCTGCTGCGCTGCCCCCTCCCCTCCCTCCGCCCCTGCTGCTGCGGGCTTGGCCTGGCACAGGTAATTCGGGAGCAGGAGAGAGGAGAGGGGATGGTAAGGAATGGAGGCGTGGGAGAGGGGATGGTAAGGAATGGAGGCGTGGGAGAGGGGATGGTAAGGAATGGAGGCGTGGGAGAGGGGATGGTAAGGAATGGAGGCGTGGGAGAGGGGATGGTAAGGAATGGAGGCGTGGGAGAGGGGATGGTAAGGAATGGAGGCGTGGGAGAGGGGATGGTAAGGAATGGAGGCGTGGGAGAGGGGATGGTAAGGAATGGAGGCGTGGGAGAGGGGATGGTAAGGAATGGAGGCGTGGGAGAGGGGATGGTAAGGAATGGAGGCGTGGGAGAGGGGATGGTAAGGAATGGAGGCGTGGGAGAGGGGATGGTAAGGAATGGAGGCGTGGGAGAGGGGATGGTAAGGAATGGAGGCGTGGGAGAGGGGATGGTAAGGAATGGAGGCGTGGGAGAGGGGATGGTAAGGAATGGAGGCGTGGGAGAGGGGATGGTAAGGAATGGAGGCGTGGGAGAGGGGATGGTAAGGAATGGAGGCGTGGGAGAGGGGATGGTAAGGAATGGAGGCGTGGGAGAGGGGATGGTAAGGAATGGAGGCGTGGGAGAGGGGATGGTAAGGAATGGAGGCGTGGGAGAGGGGATGGTAAGGAATGGAGGCGTGGGAGAGGGGATGGTAAGGAATGGAGGCGTGGGAGAGGGGATGGTAAGGAATGGAGGCGTGGGAGAGGGGATGGTAAGGAATGGAGGCGTGGGAGAGGGGATGGTAAGGAATGGAGGCGTGGGAGAGGGGATGGTAAGGAATGGAGGCGTGGGAGAGGGGATGGTAAGGAATGGAGGCGTGGGAGAGGGGATGGTAAGGAATGGAGGCGTGGGAGAGGGGATGGTAAGGAATGGAGGCGAGGGAGAGGGGATGGTAAGGAATGGAGGCGTGGGAGAGGGGATGGTAAGGAATGGAGGCGTGGGAGAGGGGATGGTAAGGAATGGAGGCGTGGGAGAGGGGATGGTAAGGAATGGAGGCGTGGGAGAGGGGATGGTAAGGAATGGAGGCGTGGGAGAGGGGATGGTAAGGAATGGAGGCGTGGGAGAGGGGATGGTAAGGAATGGAGGCGTGGGAGAGGGGATGGTAAGGAATGGAGGCGTGGGAGAGGGGATGGTAAGGAATGGAGGCGTGGGAGAGGGGAGAAGGGGGGGAAGGGAGGGTCTGGGAGGGTCAGGGATGGTCAAGTTCATGACAGGTGGACATGTACTAGATGGGTGAAGTGGCATGCGGATATGCAAATGACAACATGTGGGAAGGCTTCATGTCACAACAGCTTGGCAAGGCAGTTGTTGTGGGAGAGAGCCAAAGCTTTCTTCCCTTGCTCCCTTCCTCCCTATGTTCACAGACAGATACACACCGGTGGATGGTGCGTATCGGGTATACTCGCTTGCGTTATATATACATACTTTTTTTTTTTTTTTTTTTTTTTCGCATCAGTTTGCTCTGCTGCACCTTGTTCTGCTGTACGCGTATCACATATTCATCCCTCTCCTTTGTCACCCATACACATGCAAGCACACTCCCAACCATACACGCACCCACCCATCCACCATCCCCCTCCACCTATTTAGCGCCCTTGGCTGACCACCTCTGCAGCACCTTTGCTTTGCAGCACCTTGCTCCACTCACGTCACATACCCATCCCTCTCCTTCTATAGGCATCACAGGAATAACCACGCACATGCGCACACACAACGCACACACGTGCGCGTTCGCACACGCATACACACATCCACCCACCCTCACACACACACACATGCAGCATCTTGCTCTGCTGCACACACGTCACATATGCATCCCTCCCCTTCAATACGCACCACACACAGGCACGCACACGCATGCACACGCGCATACAAACACACACCTTCTTGGCTGCCTTGGCCTGGCGGCGCTGCAGCACCTTGCTCTGCTGCACGCGCGTCACATACGCGTCCCTCTCCTTGGCCGCCACCCTCATCTCCGCCTCCAGCTTCTGCTCCCTCACCGCCCGGCGGTACGCTGTGAGTCAGGATGACAGGGGAGAGGGGGGAGGGGAGGGGGGAAGGGGGGATGAGAGGGGAGCAGCCACTTAGACCACAATCGCCGCCACCCGCATCTTGCCTCCAGTTTCTGCTCCCTCACTGCGTGCTGGTAGGCAGGGAGAGCAGGAGAGGGAAGACGGACGATGAGAGGGAAGAAGGGAAGGACGAAGGAGGGGATGGGAAGAGCAGCCTGTGACGCGCGGGATTGGCTGCGCCTCCAGCTTCTGCCCCCCCACTGCATGGCATGGCGGTTGGCTGTGCGGGGAATGAGTGGGGATGGGAGAGGGGAAGGGGGATGGGAAGGGAGAAGGGGAATGAGAGATGGGAGCAGGGGATGAGAAGTGTGAAGCGGGGACGAGAGGCGGACATGGGGATGAGATGAGAGGCGGGGAGGGGGGAAAAACGGGGATGGGAGAGGAGATGAGGGGATTGGAGGCATGATGATGATGAGAAGCAAAAAGCTTAAACTCTTAATCATCCCGGTGAGGGGCAGGGCAGCAGGCCTCAGTCCTCACCTCGCTCTGCTCCGCATCTCCCTCACCGTGCCTGCCTGCCATTCTGCTCCGCATCTCCCTCACCGTGCCTGCCTGCCATTCTGCTCCGCATCTCCCTCACCGTGCCTGCCTGCCATTCTGCTCCGCATCTCCCTCACCGTGCCTGCCTGCCATTCTGCTCCGCATCTCCCTCACCGTGCCTGCCTGCCATTCTGCTCCGCATCTCCCTCACCGTGCCTGCCTGCCATTCTGCTCCACGCCCATGGCTTGGCTCACAAGCTGGTATGCACACATGCGATCACGCATCCCCTCCCGGGCCTCTCATCTCATCCACTCGTCGACTCACCCATCCCCTCGCTAGCCTCTCTCAACCTCTCAGCAGCTCACCCAGGTCGTCCCACTAACAACGCCTATGGTACGCACGTAAGTCAGCACCTCTCTCACAAACCGTGACTTGCATGCCTGCCAGCCATTCGCCCCTGCACTGACCCAACCCTTCCCTCAGCCTCTCTTCCGTCCAGCCCACCCATCGGCTCACCCATCTCCTCGCTCAGGTACTTGATTGTCCACAGGTCCGCACCTCTCTCACAAACCACGCCCTGCATGCCTGCCGTTCACCTCGCCACTCACCTCTCAACCTTCCCTCAGCCTCTCAACCGCCCTTGCACGCACTGCACTGCACTCACCCATCTCCTCGCTGAGGTTGTCCCACTTGAATCTCTTGAGGTACTTGATCGTCCAAAGGTCAAACCGGTGGTGGGAGCGATTCTTGCCGCCTGGAAAATGCGAAAGAAGGGGAGTTCGGTGGGTGTTGAAGGAAAAAAGAGGAGGAAGAAAAACCATAGGTCAGGTCAGCGAGGTTGTGTGAGAAGTTCTTGCCGCATGAGGCCAGAAAGAACGGCAAAAGAGGAGGGGCGGGGGGTTGGGGGGGTTGGTAGATTGGGGGAAAAATATGAAGAGGACGAAACACCACAAGCCAAAACAGTGGTGCGAACAATCTTTGCCGCTTGAAAGCAAGAGGAACAACAGTAGGACGGGGCGGAACACGGGTGGAGAAAGTATGGGAAGGTGGGGAGGGCGGGTGGGAAGGTTAACCAGAATGGGCATTCTCAAAGACAGAGGCGAAAACACTAGTAAAGGGGAGGAAAGAGAGTGACCCGGTGGTTCATGCTGCCTGTGAGCAGGAAAGGGAGAGAGTTGGGGGGAAGGGGAGGGGTGGAGGGCTCAAGGCAGAAGTGGGCATTACACAAGGAGAGAAAGGAACACTACAGATCAAAGCTGTGGTGTGAGCGGTTTAGAGTTTCGGGTTTAGGGCAGAACCAGGCCGCATGAAGGGCAGAAGGGGTTCTTGGGACGGAAGAGAGGGGGGTCGAGAGGGGGAGCCCGGAGGACAGGGCACGAGGGAGGAGCGGAACCGGTGGTTGGTGGACGAAGGGTGTGGGGAGGAGAGAAGACGACAGAGGGGATTCTTGAAGGAAGCAAGAAGACAAGGATGCTTAGAGGGAAACAAACGGGAGGATAAAGAAAGAGGTATGAGAGGAACGGAGGAGGAGAAAGCCTGTGACCCAGAAGAGGGGTCTATAGCAGCAGAGAGGGATAGGCTAAAGCAAGCAGAGTGACACCTGTGTTGTGAGAGAGGCAGGGCTGAGAGGCATGCACGCCCCCATGGGCTGAGAGGCATGCACGCACCCATGGGCTGAGAGGCATGCACGCACCCATGGGCTGAGAGGCATGCACGCACCCATGGGCTGAGAGGCATGCACGCACCCATGGGCTGAGAGGCATGCACGCCCCCATGGGCTGAGAGGCATGCACGCCCCCATGGGCTGAGAGGCATGCACGCACCCATGGGCTGAGAGGCATGCACGCACCCATGGGCTGAGAGGCATGCACGCACCCATGGGCTGAGAGGCATGCACGCACCCATGGGCTGAGAGGCATGCACGCACCCATGGGCTGAGAGGCATGCACGCACCCATGGGCTGAGAGGCATGCACGCCCCCATGGGCTGAGAGGCATGCACGCCCCCATGGGCTGAGAGGCATGCACGCACCCATGGGCTGAGAGGCATGCACGCACCCATGGGCTGAGAGGCATGCACGCACCCATGGGCTGAGAGGCATGCACGCACCCATGGGCTGAGAGGCATGCACGCACCCATGGGCTGAGAGGCATGCACGCACCCATGGGCTGAGAGGCATGCACGCACCCATGGGCTGAGAGGCATGCACGCCCCCATGGGCTGAGAGGCATGCACGCCCCCATGGGCTGAGAGGCATGCACGCACCCATGGGCTGAGAGGCATGCACGCACCCATGGGCTGAGAGGCATGCACGCACCCATGGGCTGAGAGGCATGCACGCACCCATGGGCTGAGAGGCATGCACGCACCCATGGGCTGAGAGGCATGCACGCACCCATGGGCTGAGAGGCATGCACGCCCCCATGGGCTGAGAGGCATGCACGCACCCATGGGCTGAGAGGCATGCACGCCCCCATGGGCTGAGAGGCATGCACGCACCCATGGGCTGAGAGGCATGCACGCACCCATGGGCTGAGAGGCATGCACGCACCCATGGGCTGAGAGGCATGCACGCACCCATCGGCTAAGAGGCATGCACGCACCCATGGGCTGAGAGGCATGCACGCACCCATGGGCTGAGAGGCATGCACGCACCCATGGGCTGAGAGGCATGCACGCACCCATGGGCTGAGAGGCATGCACGCACCCATGGGCTGAGAGGCATGCACGCCCCCATGGGCTGAGAGGCATGCACGCCCCCATGGGCTGAGAGGCATGCACGCACCCATGGGCTGAGAGGCATGCACGCACCCATGGGCTGAGAGGCATGCACGCACCCATGGGCTGAGAGGCATGCACGCACCCATGGGCTGAGAGGCATGCACGCACCCATGGGCTGAGAGGCATGCACGCACCCATGGGCTGAGAGGCATGCACGCACCCATGGGCTGAGAGGCATGCACGCCCCCATGGGCTGAGAGGCATGCACGCACCCATGGGCTGAGAGGCATGCACGCACCCATGGGCTGAGAGGCATGCACGCCCCCATGGGCTGAGAGGCATGCACGCACCCATGGGCTGAGAGGCATGCACGCACCCATGGGCTGAGAGGCATGCACGCACCCATGGGTTGAGAGGCATGCACGCACCCATGGGCTGAGAGGCATGCACGCACCCATGGGCTGAGAGGCATGCACGCACCCATGGGCTGAGAGGCATGCACGCACCCATGGGCTGAGAGGCATGCACGCCCCCATGGGCTGAGAGGCATGCACGCACCCATGGGCTGAGAGGCATGCACGCACCCATGGGCTGAGAGGCATGCACGCACCCATGGGCTGAGAGGCATGCACGCACCCATGGGCTGAGAGGCATGCACGCACCCATGGGCTGAGAGGCATGCACGCCCCCATGGGCTGAGAGGCATGCACGCACCCATGGGCTGAGAGGCATGCACGCACCCATGGGCTGAGAGGCATGCACGCCCCCATGGGCTGAGAGGCATGCACGCACCCATGGGCTGAGAGGCATGCACGCACCCATGGGCTGAGAGGCATGCACGCACCCATGGGTTGAGAGGCATGCACGCACCCATGGGCTGAGAGGCATGCACGCACCCATGGGCTGAGAGGCATGCACGCACCCATGGGCTGAGAGGCATGCACGCACCCATGGGCTGAGAGGCATGCACGCCCCCATGGGCTGAGAGGCATGCACGCACCCATGGGCTGAGAGGCATGCACGCACCCATGGGCTGAGAGGCATGCACGCCCCCATGGGCTGAGAGGCATGCACGCACCCATGGGCTGAGAGGCATGCACGCCCCCATGGGCTGAGAGGCATGCACGCACCCATGGGCTGAGAGGCATGCACGCACCCATGGGCTGAGAGGCATGCACGCCCCCATGGGCTGAGAGGCATGCACGCACCCATGGGCTGAGAGGCATGCACGCACCCATGGGCTGAGAGGCATGCACGCACCCATGGGCTGAGAGGCATGCACGCACCCATGGGCTGAGAGGCATGCACGCACCCATGGGCTGAGAGGCATGCACGCACCCATGGGTTGAGAGGCATGCACGCACCCATGGGCTGAGAGGCATGCACGCACCCATGGGCTGAGAGGCATGCACGCACCCATGGGCTGAGAGGCATGCACGCACCCATGGGCTGAGAGGCATGCACGCCCCCATGGGCTGAGAGGCATGCACGCACCCATGGGCTGAGAGGCATGCACGCACCCATGGGCTGAGAGGCATGCACGCACCCATGGGCTGAGAGGCATGCACGCCCCCATGGGCTGAGAGGCATGCACGCCCCCATGGGCTGAGAGGCATGCACGCACCCATGGGCTGAGAGGCATGCACGCACCCATGGGCTGAGAGGCATGCACGCACCCATGGGCTGAGAGGCATGCACGCCCCCATGGGCTGAGAGGCATGCACGCCCCCATGGGCTGAGAGGCATGCACGCACCCATGGGCTGAGAGGCATGCACGCACCCATGGGCTGAGAGGCATGCACGCACCCATGGGCTGAGAGGCATGCACGCACCCATGGGCTGAGAGGCATGCACGCACCCATGGGCTGAGAGGCATGCACGCACCCATGGGCTGAGAGGCATGCACGCACCGATGGGCTGAGAGGCATGCACGCACCGATGGGCTGAGAGGCATGCACGCACCCATGGGCTGAGAGGCATGCACGCACCCATGGGCTGAGAGGCATGCACGCACCCATGGGCTGAGAGGCATGCACGCACCCATGGGCTGAGAGGCATGCACGCACCCATGGGCTGAGAGGCATGCACGCACCCATGGGCTGAGAGGCATGCACGCACCCATGGGCTGAGAGGCATGCACGCACCCATGGGCTGAGAGGCATGCACGCACCCATAGGCTGAGAGGCATGCACGCACCCATGGGCTGAGAGGCATGCACGCACCCATGGGCTGAGAGGCATGCACGCACCCATAGGCTGAGAGGCATGCACGCACCCATGGGCTGAGAGGCATGCACGCACCCATGGGCTGAGAGGCATGCACGCACCCATAGGCTGAGAGGCATGCACGCACCCATGGGCTGAGAGGCATGCACGCACCCATGGGCTGAGAGGCATGCACGCACCCATGGGCTGGCCGTTGAGCAGCGCTGCCACTCGCTTGGCGTCCCTCTTCCGTGCGAACTCCACCCACCTGCCCACGCGGGTGAAGGCAGGGAACAAGGAAGGTGGGTGTGTTGGGGTTGAGGGGGAAGGAAAGCGGGGAGCAGCAGACAGGAGGCGTGAGCGAAGAGCAGCAGTGCAGGCAGTGAGGAGGGATACGGGGAAGCTCCAGGCTTCAGAATACTGTTGCATGCTTTTGAGCAGCCCTCTACCCGGCAATCTTGCTTGGTTGGAAGTATGACGGCGAGGGACGAGATACAGATATTGGCTTGGTAACCTTGGTAACCGCATTTCTCGATCGCAAGCAACTCTTAAACACCTTTCCCGACCCATCAACTCGTAAACCCTCAACCCTGCCCTTTCCGCAACAAGCCTACCCTACCCTTCTGGCCCGGAGAATCAATCTGCAACCAGGACCCACCCTTCTGTGAAGTTTTTGTTTCGGCTGCCCCCCGCTGCCCGCCGCCGCTGGCGAGCTGCTGGGTCTGCCACGGAGAGAGGAGCAGCGGGCGAGCAGAGGGGTGGTAAGAGGGGGAGGAAGGGGATCGGGACGGAGCGGAGGTGAGAAGGTGGGGATTGAAGTTTCAAAACCCGAAACCCTCACGACGAGAGATTGAGGCAGGGGTTTTTGCGGATTGATGGAGGGGCGGGTGGACTTAACAATGGCAGATGCTTCGGGGAGCAGCGAAGGAATGTAGGTTTAGGTGTGAGGAAGGAAGAGAGCGAATATACTAGTGGGATGTCCAAGGGTCCACGGGTGGTGGGAGGTGGACACTGGTGGACGAGGGCACATCGCAGGGTTTCGATTGCACTGGTGCAAGGAGGAAGCACCAGTGACGGTGCGCTGAATTAGAGACCCGAAACCCCCTTAATATCGATTTTGATTGGATCCAGGATCGGAGCCGGTGCCTTAAACCGTGAACCGAGGTGCACTGAGCTTCCATCTCCTGCTACTCAGCCGTCGCCGTTCACGTTAAGTTAAGTTAAGGACCCAGGGGAATCTCGGAACCGCGAACCTTGAATTGGGAAGGAGGTGCTTCAAGGCCCGGGTGTACCTTCAGGTGCGAGGTATATCCGAAGGATTTCCGCGTACGGCGACAGCAAGTGACGCAGCTTCAAGGGTTTCATGCGAGGGGGTATTCTCGAAAGGTAACACACGCCAGTCTTGTGTCGCTTCTTCCCTTTCGCCAATTTCGCCTGCTTTCTCTTCCCGCCCTCTCCGTGCAGTTCCCCCCCGTCCCCCTCCCCTTTCCGCCGCTTCCGCCCGTTCCTTTCCCCATTCTCTGCGCCCATCGTGCCGCCGTCCCCATCGCTTCCGGTTCGTTCCGCGTCGCCCTCATCACTATCACTCTCGCTATAATCACTCCGCCCTTCGGTGGCGCCTTCGTTCGTTTGTAGCCGATCCAACCCACGCGCACCCGCTGCATCTCCCACCTCGTTTTCCTCCCCCTCCTCTCCTTCCTCTCCCTCCTCGTTATCCTCCCCTTCCTCCCCTTCCTCCCCCTCCTCCCCTTCCTCCTCCTCCTTCCCTTCATCCCCTTCGTCCTCTTCCTCTCCTTCCTCCTTGTCCTCCTCTCGCTCCTCTAATTCCTCCTCCGTTCCATCGCCCACCAACTCTTCCTCATCGCTCCTCATTTCTCCCTCCTTCACGTCCCACTTCGCCATCGCAAAACCCCCGTCGACACCACTTACGCCTACACCAGACCCACCCGAATCACGCTAACCTTGCCGTCTGTGTTATATATTCCTTCCCAAAGTGCTACTGAACAAGCGGGTTTCTGGCGGTGTGAGGAGCAGGAGCTGTGTCGGCCCGCTGGTAGCTGGAGAGATGGCTTCTGGAACCAACAAGACTGCCTACAGGTGAAGCCGCAGGTCTCAGGTTTCAAGCCTTTCCTTAAAGCCCAAAAAAAAAAAAAAAAAAAGTTTCAAGCCTTGACTGGCCTGCGAACCCAGAGGTGTTGAATGCGAGAGTCAGCGAAAGGAGTCGACTTCGTTAACGTTACCTGAATTCGGCTGAGTATCGCACAAACCCAGAGTTGCGAACTTGCGACGTGTAGCATGCGCAACGGAAACCCCGCCCGACTTAGGGCTTGTCCCACGAGTTCGTTGAGAGCGGTTTGTCTGCTCAATCGCTCTGAACCGTGACCCACCAGTCTGAACATTGATTCATGCGCTGAAAACGAACTCGTGGGACACGCCCTTAGAACTTCGGTCCGAACGGAAAGGCGAACTGTCACACCTGACGGTCGCGAATCTAGTCTGGTTTCGCCGAGGCACACCCACGCTGCTGCAAATCCGCCAGAGCTGGTTGGTCGCCCAACGGGGCGGTTAGGAAGTTGTAAATGAGTCGCCCTTCGCGAACACTGGCGATTTGTTTGGTCGACAAAATTGTCGACCATGGTCTTGTTTCCTGCAATGTTACACGCCCTAATAACTGGTACGTCGACAGTAGGGGCCAGGGGCTACCCCAGCGATTTTGAAGGATCAATCATGCAAAATTGGTCCTCCGCCGCGCTGAAATCCCGATTCATTACATCGAAAACATTCTGAACCGAATTCAGCCCCGTTAAAATTCGACTCTGCGCAGGTTCGTTACGGGCGCAAGGTGTTTCTGTTCTGTAGGACGGTCTGGGTGTCCGAACCGCCTTGAATCAGAGCAGGAACTGACTTTTCGTAAAGAGAACGTAAGCTTGACGGACTTTTCGTAAGAACGTAAGTGCGGCTGCAGCTGTTGGTGCACTAACGACAATGGACAGGAGAGGGGCTGTTCTGTTGAAGCTTCCGAGGATTCCGAATCGCAGTGACACCTGATTGGGCGCGCTGTTCGGACATGTCAAGAGGAGAGTTTGACGAACCGCTGCGGCATACACATGTTGCTCAACAAGCCTGCACCCGTGTATTTTGCGCCAGCCTGTTGCACCCACTTTACAAGCACCCCGAGCAAGTTGCACTGACTATGAACCAATAGTAACCACAGAAGCCAAAGTCAAACTGAAAAGACCGAAGTCAAAAAGTCAACGTTGAGTTACATTTTTTTTTATAAAACCCTTTTTTGCTAGGTGCGACGTTGACGAAATTTGCGAAATGCCCCCCTTCACAAGGCAACCTTGGGTTAATCAAACGAGCATCATGTGTACGTGGCGGCGGCGCCCAGTCGAAGTGCATCGATGAAGTTTACGACCGCGAAGTCCTCATATCCCCACGATCCCAAATCTGGTGAGGTGTTCCTCATCCCCGCGATAGCAAATCTTTTCCTATCCTTCGACTTCTAGGAGCTCGCATTCCCTGGATTGTGACTAGCACTTCCCCCTATACACATGCACAAAGAATCGGTTTCAAAAAGGAACGGGCATATTCACGGGAAGGTTTGGCGGATTCGACTGTACCCATCCACTCTTAGAGCGGTGCTTCACCGAGGGCGCGCTTCCGCCTCTCGACCCGCCACTCGCGTCGGCGCTTCCTGACCACAACTTGGTTTAGGGTTGAACTTCCCGCCACTCGGCAACTGCTGGCCTAGCACGCATCTCATCTCGTGATGGGATCAGTGATCCCATCTGAAGCCCTCTGAGGCTGAATGGACGGAGTATATCTGATTCTGGGTCACCTGCACCAGCTTTTCATTTCAGAATCGCATTTTTCGCCTTTCTTTACTACCATGGAGCGGCGCACGACACATCTCTTCTCCCTCTTGCTCTGTAAGCACCACTATCACTACTCTCCTGCTCTTAAGTGCATGCGCCTAGTATTGGTAGTAGTGGCCGTGGTGATGATTCCCGATTATGCGCCGGTTCTCGCGTCTCGCGTTGTGTCAAATGGTCCCGCCCCCTGCCCCTCATAATGTTCCCTCCTCCTGCGCTTGCCGCAGTGCCTGTCAGGTGCGGCGTTCTTCACCGCCGCCGCAGCATCAATCATCCCGCCATTCCCCCTTCGCGACGGCAGCGTTCCAACCGCGGCGTCTGTTGTGTTGTAAAGGACTCTCCTCTACTTTGCAGGAACTGGGAGTTGTTCTAAGCAGTAGAGCTCTGTCTTAGCTTTCCAACGGGCCGTAGATCATCTCGATCGCCTAAGTATCGGCGAGATATGGCTACTAACGTAAAAGCTATGCTCTATGTTGAAGGCTTGGCAACTCTCTGGAATTTGTTGTCGAATGCACTGTGTACAAAGTGATTCACGTTTTCCAGTATGAAACATGCATACAAAGCGCACACATTTATAGCTACTCAATTTGTCGAATCGCACACGTAACATCGAGTTGCTACATGAAGTGTCGCGAATGTTCCGTGGGTAACATTTCGATGTGGTGAAATTCGTCAACCGAATTTCACACATTCGAATGTTCCTTTGGTCCTCGAATGTTCCAGGTGCTGCCATGTGGCACCGAACTTCAAGTCTCCCGAAGTCAACCTGCACTTTCTCGAAACCTGCAGTGAAGTGAATCGGAAGCAACACATTCGGTGGTTGGGGGCAAACCTCCCCCCCACGCAACCTCCAACATGTTGGAAGTCGCGTGTGTTGGAAGCAAGCGGTGGTGGGGCGGTTGTATGCCCCCAACCCACCGAATGCTAGTTGGGCTCACTTTCGAGTGAGGCTACGAGATGATGCAGGTTGACTTTGAAGATCCTCTCGTTCGGTGCCACATGGCAGCACTCGAACATTCGAGATGAAGGAACATTCGGGATCGGTGAAATTTGGCGACCGAATTTCACCCTAACCGAAATGTTACACGCGGCGCATTCGTGACGCGAGTGTAGCGGTTCGTGTTACATGTGCGGTTCGATGTTATTTGCTTCCTATAAATCGACTTGCCTTGTATGCATGCTTCATACTGAAATCCTGAGTCTTCTTGTACATGGTACAACTCGACAGAGAGCTCCTAATCTTTTTTCCTAGAGCATAGTCTTCACGTTTCCACCTCACTCGTTTCTTAGGCGAACGAAGTGATTGACGGCTCGTTGGAAAGCTAAGACATAGCTCTATTGATTAGGACAAATCCCAGTTCCTACAAAGTAGAGGAGAGTCCTCTACAACAGTGTTATCAGAGCTGGTCGGTAGAGTCTACGTGCACGACTTGTAACAAGCATGATGACGTCAAGCGAAGCCTCTGGCACTTCCTTAGGTGGTGTCGTCTCGAATCCCGGCGAACCCTAGACAAACGCGACAGTGTTTGACACGTCGGCGGTTTCGATTTTCACGGGACAAAACTACTCCGCGTGGAAATTTAAGTTCCAAGTGCTCATGATGGAGCGGGGACTTTGGGGTCTCTTCGACGGAACGGAGAAAAAGCCAGTCAACGAGGACGAGATCGCGGCATGGAAGAAGAAAGACCAAAAGGCGTTCGCAACGTTGATTTCGCGCATCGGCATCAACCTCGTGAGTTCGGTGCGCACGTGCATCAAGCTCGAAGCTTTGGCGCGTGAAGAATGGAAGCGGCCCGAGACGATGCACGTGAACAAGACTCTCCACGGCAAGATCCTAGCCCGAAATGCGTTCTACACTGTGAAGATGCGCGCGGGCGAATCTATGCACGAGTATGCGACTCGTGTGGAGGAACTCGGGGAAACGTTCATGGACCTCAGTGGAATGGTCACGGAGGAGGATTGGATTCTCACCTTGCTTTGCGGCCTTCCGGAAGAGTGGTAGACGGTGATTACGACACTCGATAGCGTGAAAAAGACTTGGACGAAGGAAATGGTGGTCGGTCGGCTTCTCCATGAAGGATCGCGTCGCCGACAATTCGCTAATGTACTCCGGAGGGAGTTCCGGAAAGAAGTCCAAGTGGAGCAAGGGTTCGACGAAGGAATCATCCGGTGGGAGCGAGCATCGCGGCAAGTGCCACTATTGCGGCAAACCGGGACACTTTTGGCGGGAGTGTCGGAAGCGGCCGAGCGATTGGACTCCATCGAAGGTGCGGGACGAAGAGGGCAACGGGCACACGGCATCCGGCGAGGCCGGTGATTCAAAGGAGTCGCTCGTGTTAGTGGCCGAAAACGGGAACAAAACCCCAAGCGATGCGTGGTTCCTCGATACCGGCGCAACGCAACACATGACGCACTCGGCGTCGCTCCTCAACAACATTGGCGCTCCGGGAGACGTCACGAGCATCGTGTTCGGAAACAACGAATCGCTACCGGTGGTTGGAGTTCGGAGTACGCGCTTCATCGTCGATAGCGGACCGGTGGACGTCACGAGCGTGCTTCACGTCCCGGGGGTGAAGGTGAACCTTCTATCCGTCCTGCAACTTGCGAAGAAGGGCGTGATCGCCACCATCGACGGTGCGAATATGAACCTCTTTT